AATTATATATATATATTTAGCAACCCTTTCCCAAGCAAGCAAAGGGAAGCTCAGAAACGTTAGGTTACTGGAATCGTACAGCCACAGATCGGCCAGGCGGGGGGATTCCAGGCCTTGTCTGCTGGCTCTAGCTGGGGTCTTCTCTCCTGCCGCCTCCCCTCGCCCCCAGGCCCAGGAGGTGTCATCGTGCGGCAGCCGACCCCGCGCCCCAGAAGCAAGCCAGTGGCCTCGGCCCCCTCCGAGCCCTGCATTCCCAACCGCGGGCAGCAGTACCAGGGCCGCTTGGCGGTGAGCGCGCTTGGCTCGCCCTGCCTGCCGTGGGCCAGCGCACAGGCCAAGGCGCTGAGCAAGGACCAGGACTTCCGCCCGGACGTGCTGCTGCTGGAGAACTTCTGCCGGAATCCGGACGGGGATGAGGAGGGGGTGTGGTGCTACGTGGCTGGGGAGCCTGGTGACTTCGAGTACTGTGACCTCAACTACTGCGGTGAGTGGGCAGGGTCAGGGGCCCTGAGGTACAGAGGACAAAGCCACAGAACGAATCACTTCCTATTGTCTAAGGTTTACCACGTGCGTGCATGAAAGCTGCCTGGTAACTCCCGAAGGACCTGTGTTGGTTTTACAGCTGAGTAAATTTAGAGAAGATCAAATTATTTAGAAACTGGGGTGCGCCTGTGCGCTTAGTCTCTACACCAAATGGCTCCCCAAGCTTCAAGCAGCTTGGAGAGAGCTAGGGGGTGGGAGTGGAAGGGCCCTACCTAGCCTCAGTCTCCAGTGGGTCCCTGCAGACGAGCCGGTGGACGAGGAGGTAGATTACACGCTGGGCGAGGACACCGACTCCATCCAAGGGCGCACGGGCGCCGCGAAGTTCGAGCCCTTCTTCAATGAGAAGACCTTCGGCGCCGGGGAGGCAGGTGAGGCTGCAGCAGGCCGGGGCCGGGGTCTGGGGAGGTCGGAGGGGGGCTGGAGGGCCTGCCGCCCATCACGGCCGCTCCCTTTGCAGACTGTGGGCTAAGACCTCTGTTCGAGAAGTTGTCGAAGGATGACAAGACGGAGCATGAGCTGCTGGAGTCCTACATCGAAGGGCGCGTGGTGGGGGGCTCGGACGCAGACCTTGGCATCGCACCCTGGTGCGTTCCTGGCCCTCGCCTCTCATGCATTTGTTGGGGTGCACTGCCTCCCCCTCAATCCCCGCAGCGTCTAGGGAGGCCTCCTCCTCCCGGAGGCCCAGCTTCGCAGAGACCAAGGGCCTCCACGGGCTTGTCTAGTAGGAGGCAGCCCCGCGAGTGAATGTGATTCTTCTCGCCTTCAGCAGAGGGCGCAGCGGAGTTTCAGCTCAGCACACTTGCTAAGTCACTGGGCTGAAGTGCTACAAAGTCAGAACTTGAATCCAGCTCTTCTGACTCCCGAGCGGTGCTATGCAAACTCCGAACTGCAAAAAGTTGGGGAGCGGGTGAAACAGCAAGAGGCAGCCCCTCGGCGTCGCATGACCTTCCATTCCCCAAGTGCAGTGAGGTTCAGCTGACTGGTTCCCTCCAGGGACCCTCCTAATCAGCCCAATGAGTTCTTACATCTGGGACTGTCTCCTTCTGGGGCTGGTGGAGGGCAGCCCCTAGCTCTTAATGCTTCCTTGCTCTCAGGCAGGTGATGATTTTCCGGAAGACCCCCCAGGAGCTGCTGTGCGGGGCGAGCCTGATCAGTGACCGCTGGGTTCTCACTGCAGCCCACTGCATACTGTACCCGCCGTGGGACAAGAACTTCACCGTGGATGAACTTCTGGTGCGCAGTGGCAAGCACTCCCGCACCAGGTACAGAGCCGGGGTTTCCCCGAGTGTCTGGGGTGAGTTCTGGTGGCTCTAGGTGTCCAGCCTGTGTCTGTATGTACATCTTCTGCAGTGTGACGTTCCAGTAGTCCCGACTGGGAAGTCCACTGAGGCACATCCTGCCTGAGGCATGGAGCTAGGGACAGCAGCGGAAGCTTTGCAGGCCCTGGGGGACATCAGGAGGGCGAGAGCACATGGCTGGTGCTCCTGCTGCTGTCTGCCTGTGTTCTCCGACTCCAAAACCTTGTGCAACTCGGGCTAGAAAGAGGCTGTCAGGAAGACGTCAGTGCCCAGGAGGCTGAAGATGGCCCTGGCCTCTCACTCACTCGGCCCTCACCTCTCACTCTAGCACCTGAGTGGTTTGCCTTCCACACCGCATGAGCCCACAACAACTCCACTTCTTTGTTGGTCCCTGTGTAGGTATGAGCGGAATACAGAGAAGATTTCCATGCTGGAGAGGATCATCATCCACCCCAGGTACAACTGGAAGGAGAACCTGGACCGGGACATCGCCCTGCTGAAACTCAAGAAGCCTCTCACTTTCAGTGACCACATTCACCCCGTGTGCCTGCCTGACAAGGAGACGGCAGTGAGGTGGGGTGGCGCCAGGACCATTAACCCCATGCCTGTCCTCCCCGTTCCCACTTCAGCTTCTTGGCTAAATGGAAAGGGAAGCTAAAGATGAAACCCCTTCCTGTCTTAGTCTTTTGGGTTCAGGTCTCTAAGGGATGGTTTTGTGGCAAGGTGGCTCCTGGAGGGGTTGGGTCTTACCCGGTGCTTCGCTTTTCCCCTAAGTTTGCTCCGGGCTGGATACAAAGGGCGTGTGACTGGCTGGGGCAACCTGAAGGAGACATGGACAGTCAACCCTGGGGAGGTGCAGCCCAGCGTCCTGCAGGTGGTGAACCTGCCCATCGTGGAGAGGCCAGTTTGTAGACAGTCCACCCGCATCCGCATCACGGACAATATGTTCTGTGCTGGCAAGTACCCTGGGAACCCCTCGGCAGGAGAGAGAGGCAGGGACAGGAGCACTGAGGCATGTGAAGAGCACAGACATGGTTTGGGTCCTGGCTCTGATCACTCACAAGCCATATGGCTTTGGGCAAATTGTTAAATCTCTTGTAAGCTCAGTTTTCTGGGACCAGACATGGTTTGGGTCCTGGCTCTGATCACTCACAAGCCATATGGCTTTGGGCAAATTGTTAAATCTCTTGTAAGCTCAGTTTTCTGGGACCAGGATATCCCAAGCCCAGAAAGTTTGTGGGAGGGTTCTCTGAGGTGCCATGTCTAGTGTTTGGCATGATACTAACCACCATTGTTGTTGTTATGTGCCATCGAGGTATTTGCGACTCATAGTGACCCTATGTACAAGAGCCCTAAATGCCGTTCTATCCTTTGCCAACCTCACCATCTCAAACGCACTCATCCCCACCACTCCACTCACAGAATCGATCCATCTCATCAAAGGTCTTCTTCCCCTTCACCGCCCCTCCACTCTGCCAAACATGATGTCCCTCTCCAAGGACCAGTCCCTCCTTGCAACATGCCTGACCACCATTAAGAAAGAAATAATTAAAAAAAATTTAAAAAAGGGAAACAACAAAAGAGATGGTACACAGAGTAATAAAAAAATGAAAAAAAAGTAAAAAAGGGTTAATAAATGTAAACTTAGATGGTAAGAGGAGGCCGTAGGGAGGGGGATGAAGGTAAAAGCCGTTGTCAGGCATTCACTAACTCAGCAAATATTGCTTGAATGCTTATGATGACCCACGTACTGTTTAGACACTGAATTGCCAATAGAAACTCAACCCTGCCTGTCTTCAGAGATTTAATGAAAGACAAAACTCTTGAGGCTCAAATAAGTGCTAGGAGGAAGCAGAGTGAGGATCTGATGGGGCCCCAGGTCAGGGGAGGGTCTTCTAGGAACGTCTGTGTGTTGGTGGTTGTAGTGCATGATGTCCTTTTCCGAGGACCCCTTCTGACAACATGGCCTAGGTATGTAAGACCAGGTTTCCTCATCCGTGCCTCTACGGGGCACGCTGGGTACACGTCCTCCGAGGCAGGTTTGTCTGTTCTTTCGGGCGTCCGTAGGATATTCAGTACTCTTTCCCAACACTGCAATTCAAAGGCATTGATTCTTCTTCCATCTTCCTTATTCACTGTCCATCTTTCACATCCATATGAAGCAAATGAAAATACCATGGCTTGGTTGAGCACATCTTAATCTTTAAGCACATACATACTTGCTCTTTGGCACTCTGGAGAGGTCCTTGACAGCAGCTTCTGCCAGGGCAGCACATCATTTGATTTCTTGACTGCTGCTGTCATGGGCATTAATTGTGGACCTACGTAAAAATGAAATAATTGACAATTTGAATCTTTCCTCCATCTATCATGAAGTTGCCTATTGGTTCAGTTGGGAAGATTTTATTTTCTTGATGCTGAGGTATAATCCATATGGAAGCCTGTATTCTTTGATCTTCTTCAGTAAGTGCTTCAAGTCTCTCCATTTTCTGCATGCAAGGCTGTGTCGTCTGCTTAACGTAGGTTGTTGATGAGTCTTCCTCCAATCCTGATGCCACATTGTTAATTCAGTCCAGCTTCATATAGTTTTTGGGCATGTCCCCATACGCTCTTGAAGACTTTCTCATTTTCTGACACAGAAAGATGTTCCTGTTTCATCCTGTTTTCCTAACTGCAGTCTTAGAATCAAAGAGTTTCTCTAAGGAACCCCTCCAGAAAAGAATGGTATTATTCTACTAAGGGCTGGTGTTAGGTCTGCACATTGCTACTTGGGCATCAGGATTTTTGAAACCAGCTCTATCTCTTGAAGAACAGATTTTGGAGAATGAGCTATGCTCTTTTCTCTCAAGGTTACAAGCCCGAGGAAGGCAAACGAGGAGATGCTTGTGAAGGTGACAGTGGGGGTCCCTTTGTAATGAAGGTAAGTATTTTAAAGACCAGGTACTGGAGGATAGATCGTTAGGGGCAGGAGGTTGGAAATAGCTGGACAGAGAGTAATTCAGAGGCTACTCGGATTGTTTGAAATGTTCCCTTTCTTCTTCAGAGCCCCTATAACAACCGCTGGTATCAGATGGGCATCGTCTCATGGGGTGAAGGCTGTGACCGAGATGGGAAATACGGCTTCTACACACATGTGTTCCGCTTGAAGAAGTGGATACAGAAGACCATTGATCGCTTCGGAAGTTAGGGGACCACTCACATTCCAAGCTCCTCACTGCAAAATGACAGAAGCCAATCCAGTTAAAGAATTGTTTTTGTGGTTTGTTCCTAAAATTACAGTTCTCAATAAAAGACTCTTCAGTGGGTCTCAGTGCTTCAGGTGCTGTTTGTCCCTGGAGTGGGCTCAGGAAGATACCGTAATAATGCTGGATAAAAAAGACAGGGCCAGGTGAGAGGCAGCTTGACCTGTGGACAACCAGAATGTCTGACTTAGGACTTCATCTCATTTAGTCACCACAAAGGGTAGGTACGGTCTTCAAAAGAGAAGTGAATAGAGGTTTGGACCTGAACTTTGTTCAAGGTCATCTTGATAAGGGGCAAATCCAGGGCTTGAAATATGGCCAGAAGATGCTAAGAGCTGTGTGCTCTTAGTGCCTTTGAGAAACTTGACCTTAGGCCAGAGAAGAGGCAAAGGATAGGTGGGTAGGCGGGCACTGTTTTTTTATAACTTGAACTTTTCTATTCAGTCCCTGCATCCTTTCTCATGTCATAAAATCGATGGCAAGTTTATGGCTTCCACAAGGCTTAGCGTATTAAATGCTTTCAATTTAGACATGTGGGATGTCTCAAGGCCTAGAATCCATTTGTCTGAGTTCTTACCTCTCACTCCAAACTTAATGGATAACCATGCTCAAGGCACTTTTCCTGAGTCCGTTTCCTTATATAGAGATGTATAGAACAACACTGCTTACCTTCTAAAATGCGTGGAATATATGACGGGATCGGCGTGGAGAGCACAATGCCTGGCACCTAAGTGTCTACAGGTTACTGTTTTCTCATTCTCACTGCCTAGCGAGTGTAAAGTTCCTCTGTAACTTACCCCTTCCCTCCTCTGCCCTCCCCCCCGGCCCCCAGCATATTAGTGGGGCTGTTACTTCCCAAAGTTTCTATTTACACAGCGGTCGCCAGACTTGAGCAGTTTCTAAACAAATGGGAGTGACAGGGTATGAACTGATTCATAAAGGATTGAGATCAGAGCTTTCAGTGAGTCCAGAATGAGCCAGTGAGCACTGTCATAAACAAAAGCCTCATATGTGTTCTCCAAAGGGCTAGGGAGCAATGATGTCAGTTTAAAGGCTAAGGAGCACCGACCACCCACATATGCTTGCACAGTGGCCAAATCTGTTGCCTGTGGTCATCTGACCCAAGCAGGAAGCAAACAGCTGTGGCCAAAGTGTGTTTTTCTTCAGAATCCTACCTCATGGTCCTGATACGGGAGAGTGGATTATGGGCAGGACTCTGGACAGCAACACAAAGGAGTTTGTTATTTGGGTCCGAATATCATGAGCCACAGATCTGGTTGCTATGCAATGTGCACGCAGCCCTTCCAGAACCATCCTGAACCAGTTCAAAATCCTAGTTAGGACAAATGTGTAAGTTTTAAGAGCCCTAAAATGAATGTGCCATGCAGGAACATTCTCCAGTTACTGCTGGCGCAAGGCACAGGTCAGGCATGGAGCCTGGGTGGCTCTTACCCACTGCTGCCCTGAAACGACAGTTTTTAATTCAACAAACGTAGCTCTGTTCATTAATTTATAACTAGGGGAATTGGACACCACAGCCTACAACTGGTAAGATAGTGAGTTTTAACTTACGTGAAATGCTTATGAAGCATTTGGAGATTTCTGATCTTTGAGTTTAGACTGAATGCTTGGGTTGGAATGGGGTGAGGACACAAGGTGGCCTGTGATCTTCAATTAATGTGTGTGATTTAAAGCAGCAGCGACCGAAGGCTGGTGGGTGACCTTGCAGCCCTCTCCTCCTTGTACCTTTTTTCTCTCCTACTTCAATCTATCAGCAAACAGAAGTCGGGCTGACCTCCCACCCTCACTCTGTTTCTCATTGGCGAAACAGCAGGTAAAAACTGGGAATTAAGTGCAGAACCTCAGCAAATTCAGAATGTTAATCTGAGGGGGAAAAGGGTTGAGGAGTAAGTTGTAATTATAATACCTAGAATCTGCTTCTTAAACAAGAGGGCACATTGTCCAGTCACAGGAAGCCTCCTTCTAACACAGCTGGTTGGGTTGTTAAGCTCTGAGCATTTTGGTTTTGTTCAAATTCGCTGTGTTGATTTCAGAGCCAACAACAGCCCTTCTAATTCTTATTAGGTTCTCCTTCTATAGTCCCCTTCAGTAAACAGAGTAGAGGGCCATTCGTTGTCTACGGGAGGAAGTGGAACTGCAGGAAGCCATCTGAGAGTCGGCCTGGTCTTCATTCTCTGTTAGCCTTTCACCGCTGAATCCTGTCGAGCAACAGGTAGACCGGGAGAGAAAAGTTCCTTTGATCTTCGTGACTGTCTCCCACCCGAATCTAAGACTTCTTAGTCCCAAAGAGATTCTGTGACTGTGGAGGAAGTCCTGTGGGTTTCGTACCAAAGGCGAAGCCTCAGTTTACATTCTAGTTCTCACTTAGATGGGAGTGTGAAGACACTGCAGCTGCTGTTATGTCCCATTGAGCTGGAAAGGACTCACAGTTGACCCGCCCGTGGGTTTTCAGAAATTATAAACGGCACAAGAGGTGACTGCCACCTTTCTCCCACATAGCAGCTGGTAGACTGGAACCACTTGCTTTTGGGTTGGAAGTGCAACTGCTCACCACTAAGCCACCAAGACTCCCTTGAAGCAACTGCTGCCTGGTACCAAAAATGGCCCAGCATACCAAGCAGAAAGCTTCGCCCAGGCTTGCTTTCTCATTTGCCTCTAGTGAAATGTACCCAATCAAGTCACAATATAAGAACACACAATCAATTCATGGGCATAACCACTCAAGTGTGCTTGGGTGGGAAAAATGCCCAGGAACTCCTTGGGACCATGGTTATGACTAGAAGAGTCATATTCAAAACTTCCAAACAGGGCAAGATTTCTCTTCTACTAGGAGCTAAGAAAAGTCAGACAGAGGTGTATTCTTCCTGTTCTAAAATAAAAGAGGTTCCAAGCGTGTAAGCCAGAGCTCTTTAATTAGTAAAATGACCATCCTCTCAGCAGCTTAATACCCAGCTTGTCCCAAGAACAGGTGACAGAAAGTGCTGCTTCAGCACTCAAGATATGGGCCATCTTGGGAGACAAGTATAGTTAATGCAAACTTTATTTACAGAAGACTCTTCAAATTAGTTGTACCATGCCATGCATTCATACAGAATACAGTGACCCTTCAGGGCTACAGGGAGAACTCACAAACTCAAAGGAAAGCTATGAAAGAGTTTCTAATAGATAAAAGCTAGGAAAGATTAGGACACTTTACAAATGAGAAATTAAAAATAAAACAAAAGAAAAAGGATAGGGAGACTAGTTTGAGTGGAGAGGAGAGCAGCTGTTTACAAGTCTGTACACTAAGCTAATACACAGACAGTCTTTTAGAGCCAGGATGCTGGCAGAGAGAAGCAGAGTATGTACAAAGACTTGTGCCACAATGACTCCTCCCCGACCCCTGGTATGATACATACAACCTGTTTGTGTACACAGGCCCGCCGAGGCCACTTTAGACTACGAGGACGTCTAGTTTAGTAAACTAAAGCTGCAGGGTGCAGGAAGTGGGGCAGCTTCATTTGCGACTACTCTTTATTCTCTCCAGTCTTTTTTTCAAGTCATCGATGTTTGCTGTGGAGGACGTGGTCATGGTCCCTGAAGAGTGAGTCTGGTTAGAATCCAAGTCTGAGTGCTGGTGCTGCTCCCGGGACTCCCGGAGCTGAGAGAGCTTGCTGTGGAGCATGTCTGTGGAGGAGACGACGGTGGGAACTGCAGGTTTGGAGAGCAAAGAGGTCAACGGGGGTCGGTCATCTTGCTGTGGAAAGAAGAGACATTAAGCAGGTCAAGCAGTGGCTCCAAAACAACATATTCCAAAACTAAGTCGCCTCTCTGTGGGCCACCCAGCAGAAGAGCAGTACCTTTGTATTGTCCAGACCGCATCGCTGCCGGAGGATTTTTAGTCTTTCCAGGTAGACAGATGGCCCTACCTCCTCCCCATTTGTGTTGCCTATGGAGGACACTGTGCTTGTGGGAGTGGGGACGCATGTGACCTCCATCTGAGGGGAGATGCCTGGAGGGAAACAGAGAAAGAATATTCAGACGTACACATTCGTTACTTCTAGACTGCTGGTTCATCTGCTGCATAAGGGAACAACTGAAAATTTCCTGAGACTTAACTTGAAAATGAAATAATCCCCCTTGAGGGTAGAGTGCTCTTTGACTAAGCTTAGTGAAGGAGGTAACACAGAAGTCAATGGAAAAAAAGCCATCCTTTTACATCCTGGTTTAAGCAGGAGGTGGTTTTCTGAAATCCCAGGTTTCAGCCCTTTGACTTATAAACCTAAATGATCTATATGACTATATGACTAAATGACTATAAACCTATGCCTGTCATTCTCCAGCTGTTGAATCTGAGATGTTAAGTGTTTGGAAGAATGACTCTAGGCTTAGACCAGGTGTCACACGGAGGACAGATCTTACTGACACCTGTGAGCAAGGAGCTGACTGTTATGATGAAAGGCATGGTGGAGGGGAGCTCTGGTGGCCTAGTGGCAAGGAGCTGCAACTACAATCCCAGAGGCGAACGGTTCGAATCCACCAGATGCTCTGCTGGGTAAGGAGGGACAATCTCCTCCTGTACCAGTCAGATCTGATTTGACGGTACACTCACACACACACAAAAAAAAATAAAATAAAATAAAAAAAAAAAGGCATGGCGGAATCTGTACGCTAAAATCAATATTCTGGCAGTACAGGGGGGTGGAAATCTCCAAACCAAACCAAAAATCCCATGCCTAAATCTAATGTGATTTAGATTCAGAAAAGAAACAGTCAGAAGATGCAGGCTTTTAATAAAATACACCATCTGAAATCAGTGAAAACGTGTGACAGACTGAAGAAAAGGTAAAGCACTGGGAGGAAATCTACCTTGTGGTAAAGTCAGGTTACTCTGAAAGAAGAAGCCTACATTGAAGCGTAGACTGAGTCAGCAAGAAGGTATGTT